GCTGTAAACAAAGCAGTGCTGCGCTTATGAACAGCAATGACAGTGTTTCCTTGGTTACCGCTGTAACAAAGCAGAGCTGCGCTTATGAACAGCAATGATACAGTGTTTCCTTGGTTACCGCTGTAAACAAAGTAGAGCTGTGCTTATGAACACCAATTATACAGTGTTTCCTTGGTTACCGCTGTAAACAAAGCAGCTTATGAACAGCAGTGATACAGTGTTTCCTTGGTTACCGCTGTAAACAAAGCAGAGCTGCTTATGAACACTACTTTAATATGCATTGTTCAGAGGCAAGATGAAAAGAAAATACAACGTAAACTTTTCTAAAGATAGTCAGTTCCCCTCAGAGATACATGCATATAAACTCCTACTCCAATTGTATCGCGATTTGTTTAGCATCTCAACCGATTTGAATCGTCACGCAGCGCTGCGCTTATGAACAGCAATGATACAGTGTTTCCTTGGTTACCGCTGTAAACAAAGCAGCGCTGCGCTTATGAACAGCAATGATACAGTGTTTCCTTGGTTACCGCTGTAAACAAAGCGGAGCTGTGCTTATGAACAGCAATGATACAGTGTTTCCTGGTTTCCGCTGTAAACAAAGCAGCGCTGCACTAATGAAGTTTAATATGCGTTATACAGAGGCAAGATGAAAAGAAAAAATACCATCTAAACTTTTCTAAAGACAGTAAGTTCCCCTCAGACATACATTCATATAAACTCCTACCTCTAAATTAATCGTGATTTGTTTAGCATCTCAACCGATTTGAATCGTCACGTATTTGAATCGATTTTCAACCGGCTCGCGGTTAATTGCTACATCCCTATTTATTTTGTGTTTATATGTTTTTTATTTAAAACTTATTTGTTAAAATGTTATTTTTTGAAGTAAAATGTTTCATTGAATAATTTTTTTCAACTTTCCCCTATTTTATGATTTTATTCTTCGCTTTCCATCAGCTCTCTTCTGCTCTAGTCAAAGATCTTAATTTGTATATTAAACATTAAATATGCGATCATCGGATTGAGTTTACGTAGATCACAGTCGTTGTTCCTCTGTGTTCGTTGGTCTTACGGTTAATTCAAGGTTTCGTTGAGTTGCTCAGATGTTTGCTGGCAGTCAGACTCATGAGTTTGTTGAGCTCCAGGAACAGCATGATAACACACAGATGGCGTTTCCCGGGGGCTCATGGGTAATGTTTGTAGCATCTGTGTGTGACGATGATCTTTAACCCTTCGGATGTCTCCTGTCTCAGTACAAGAGCATTCCCGAGCTCTGCCGGAGACACGATGCAGCAAACGACGAGAGACAAGGTACGAGTTCATGTTAATCAGAAACTGAATTGAGCTGAGTTATGACACTACTGTCTTCTGTAGAGCTGCTTTAAAAGAATTTGATTTAAAAATATAATTGAATTTGTTTTATAGTTGATTAATGCTGTTATGGAGCTGAATTGATCTGAATGATGATTCTTTGTCTCCTGTAGAGGATTTGTGTCATTTTTAATGAAGTTTGCATCAATGTTTCTGTTCTTTTCTTGTCTGCTTTGAACCTACTTTGTACTATTTTAGTGTTTTGTTTTTTTTAGTGTCTTTCTTTTAAACATATTTAAATTGTTTTTTTTTATTTAATTTTGTGTAAGTGCTTTGTTTGGATTTTTATTTTAGGTTTTAAAAAATGTATTTATTACAGCTTTTCATTTTTATGACTTAATTATTAGCTTTTCATCAACTCATGAAGCTCTTTTGGAAAACACTGCTCTAGTTAAACAGCTTAAAGTGCATATTAAATTATAAGTATGCATTTATAGAATCATTGATTTTTAATGATTAATTAATTAAAATTATTAATTTCAACTTAATTTAACTTAATTTCAATTTATAGAATAATTGATTCTTTTGTATTCTTATTTATTGCTGTTAAGCTGCTTAGTAACAATCTACTTTTATTTTAAGATTTACTTCCACTTTTGATTAAAATCATTTGATTTAATAAATTTTTAGTGTTTTTTGTTTAATTGATATTTTAAAATTATTTATTTAAATGTTACTTTTTTATTTGATTTTAGTAAGTGTTTTATTTTAATGGTTTGTTTTTATTTTAAAATGATTAATTTCAACTTAATTTCAATTTATAGAATCATTGATTCTTTTGTATTCTTATTTATTGCTGTTAAGCTGTTTAGTAACAATCTATTTTAAGATTTACTTTTGTTTTTGTTTTATTGATATTTTAAAGTTATTTATTTAAATGTTACTTTTTTATTTGATTTTAGTAAGTGTTTTATTTTGATGGTTTGTTTTTATTTTAAAATGATTCATTTCAATTTAATTAAACTTCATTTAAATTTATAGAATAATTGATTCTTTTGTATTCTTATTTATTGCTGTTAAGCTGCTTAGTAACAATCTATTTTAAGATTTACTTCCGCTTTTAATATTTGATTAATTAATTTTTAGTGTTTTTTGTTTTGTTTTATTGATATTTTAAAATTATTTATTTAAATGCTACTTTTTTATTTGATTTTAGTGAGAGTTTTATTTTGATGGTTTTGTTTTAAAATTATTAATTTCAACTTAATTTAACTTAATTTCAATTTATAGAATCATTGATTCTGTTGTTTTATTTATTGCTGTTAAGCTGCTTAGTAACAATCTGTTTTTATTTAAATAATTATTTTTGTGTTTTATTTATTTAAATTTTTTTTATTTTTATTTTTACATTTTTGATTTTATTTTTTAAAAATTTTTTTTTTAGTCAGTGTTTTATTTTGGTAGTTTGTTTTTATTTTAAAATTAAATTTTTGATTTAATTATTAGCGTAGAAACAGTCTGTGCTGTAAAAAGGCACTATAGAAGTAAACCTGGCTCATTTAGAGCAGACGTCACATTCGTATCAGTGTTTAAGATGTTTACGACGGTGTGTTTCAGCTCCGTCCATCAACTGGGCTCGCAGCGCGGCGTCCGGCGGAGCGGCAATCAAACCCACCGGCATCGCTGATGTCTACAGCAAGTTCCGTCCGGTCAAGCGCGTGTCTCCGCTCAAACACCAGCCGCAGGAGTCGGATCCGGAGACCGAGGGCCAGAGCAAGAGCAGAGGCCTGCCGCTGTTCGGAGAGCTGGAGCACTACGACCTGGACATGGACGAGATCCTGGACGTGCCGTACATCAAGTCCGAGAAGAGGAGCGCCGCGGCTAAAGCGCTAAAGCCCGACCTCAGGCAGCCCAAGCCAGCGGATCAGGACCGTCTCAGGGCTCAGAGCGCTCACGGATCAGAGCTGGACGCTCTTCTGTCCGACAAAGCCGACGGCGGCCCGAGCGCCTCTCCTCTTCAGCCGGCCACAGGCCCGAGGCAGGACAAGCCCTGGAGAACGCTTGGAGAAGCTGACGAGGAAACCAAGAAGACGCAGAACATCCTGAACATCGTGAGAGAAGGACAGATCTCTCTGCTGGTGAGAGCATCTCCGTCAGTAACTCTAGTAAGAGTTTTTTGCTCCAATATTTATAAAAATGATAATTTTCCATCCTCGTTTTCAATCTCTGTGAAAAACGCTCAATTTGAAGGGGCGTGTCCTCGCGCAGAAACGGACTGTGATTGGCTGGCTTCATTACACCGTAGCCACGCCTCTTTTCCAGCATTTCGTGTGTTTTGATGCTTAAGCACTAGATAGACAGGAGACATGAATAAAACCAAATATATATATGGGTCAAAGACGAAAAAGGGTTTAAGCATAAAAACAAGAAGTGTAATACTGCTTTAAATTGTTGTTCTCCCCCCCCCCCCAAAAATAATATTTTGTCCTCAGCAGTTCAACTGCCTGCTGTTCTTCAGAAACCCCCCCCAGCTTCTGCAGATTCTTTGGTTTTCCAGCATTTTCTGCATATTTGACTGTGACTGTAGGATTTTGAGATCCTTCTTTTCACATGGAGGACGATTGGGGGACTCATACACAACTATTACAAAAGATGAAAACATTTACTGATGCTCAAGAAGGCAACACAATGCATTAAGAGCATGCGTGTGCAATCTACAAATCAGCCATAATGCAGAAAAAAGTACAGAGCTAGTTTCTATTTTAGCCTGAAATACTGCATTAATTATATAAAAAAATATAAAATGAGTAAAAAAAATTAAATGGGGAAAAATGGTTCATATTTATTGCATAAATATTAATTGGTAACGTAAAATCTTCTCAAAATACAAAATGAAAAAGAAAAAATATTATTGAACAAAAATTTATTACACTGATTTTTAAAAAGAAAAAGAAAAGGTTACATATCAAAGCTTCGGTCATTTCGCAAAGGTACCAGGTGTGACCCAAAAATGAAGGGGCTCAGAGAGTTAAACTGGGAAGTTAGATTTGAGTTCTGAAACTTGCGGTGTGTTTTTATTGTAGAGTGACCTCTCATATGTGACCCTGGACCACAAAACCAGTCATAAGGGTCAATTTTATGAAATTGACATTTATACATCATCTGAAAGCACAATATTTGGCTGAGATACAACTATTTGAAAATCTGGAATCTGAGGGTGCAAAAAAATCTAAATATTGAGAAAATCATCTTTAAAGTTGTCCAAATGAAGTTCTTAGCAATGCATATTACTAATCAAAAATTAAGTTTTGATATATTTACGGTAGGAGATGTACAAAATATCTTCATGGAACATGATCTTTACTTAATATCCTAATGATTTTTGGCATAAAAGAGAAATGTATAATTCTGACCCATACAATGTATTGTTGGCTATTGCTACAAATATACCTGTGCTGCTTATGACTGGTTTTGTGCTGCAGGGCCACATATGTGTAAATATGAAGAACCTGTCGATTCTCCGTTTCATCACTGTGTCTGCAGCCTCATTTGGCGGCGGAGAACCTGGAGCGCATCCGAGACGAGGACGGGAACAACCTGCTGCATGTGTCTGCGGCTCAGGGTCACGCCGACTGCCTGCAGCACCTCACATCGTTAATGGGCGAGGACTGTCTAAACGAGCGCAACACACAGCAGCTGACGCCCGCAGGCCTCGCCGTCAGGGTACCACACACTCACACACCGCAGATGGGAACTAGAGCTGGCTCGATGACACTTTATCAGAACCAATCCCATCCCAAAAATCATCGATCCGACACCAGCGCAGTGTTTTTTTTTTTTTTAAATCAGTGTAGAATTTCTATGCGTATTGATCTGATAAACACTCTTTTGTGTTACAAACAATCTACTAAATATAGACAACTTCATTATAAAGAAAAATAACAAACGAAAAAATATAGAATCATAATCTATGACAAAACACATTCATAAAAAACAAGTAGTATAGTATAAGTATATTTGTGTGTGTGTGTCTTGTGTGTGTGTCTGTCTGTCTGTCTGTCTGTGTGTGTGTGTGTGTGTGTGTGTGTGTGT